TACTGTATATTATAACTATGCAGTAAAAATTTTCTTTCTTTTTCTGTAATGTTCATTTCTATAATTCTGACTATTGCAAGTTCTTCTTTTTTTGCCTATTTAAGGAGGTTTTCTACTTTCTATTCTCTTGTTTTAAGCTCATTGATATTGTGGCATGCAATTTTTATTTCTTTTTTTTCTTGTTTCTATTTTTCTTTCAGGCATTTATGCTTTGTTTCTATGTTTTCCATCTTCTTTTTTTCTTTTTTTCTTGTTTTCTCATTATAGCCAAAAGATACATCTACATTTTTTTCTTTGAAAATTCTTTTTTCATTATGCAAAAACTCTTCAATCTCCTGGTCTATACTTATTAATTCAACTGTAGCACCATTAGAAGTAGTTAGCAAGGTCTTCTTCTATCTTTCATTTTGACTTGTTTTGTTGTGCTTCAAGTTTCTCTAGTCTCTCGAGAATTCTTTTTAAAAGGTCTTGGCTACATGTCTGTGAATCTTCTTTTTTTGTTGCATATATGTGATGCTTCTTTTTATTTTCATTAAACTCTTCTGTATCTTCTTTTCTTCTGTTACTCTTGTTTTCATATACTTCTGCATCTAAATCTATGTCTATGCTATGTGTAATTATGCACTTCTTATAATAATCTTCTTCTTCTTCATTCTGTTTTCTTTTTTTTGTTTTGCCTTCCCAAAATAGCAAATAATTGTTAAACCTTATTGGCTTAGTTTGTGCTATCCTCATCTCCTTCTCTGATACAAAAGTAATTATTGCAGATCTTCTCTGATTCCTATTTCTATTTGTTAGTATATATACTGACTTAGCACCTTTTTTTTTTAGGCATCTTAGTAGCAATACTTCAGATGCATTTTCTGAAAGCTCTAGTAACTTTGATGTATATAGACTATGTTGGTCTTGTAGGCTGTAATCTTTATTGTCTTTGGACACTCTTGCTAGTTTGTGTGTGCCAATTGGCAAGGCCTATAGAATATTTTCTTCTCTTAAATTCTTTATATATATTACTGCCAGGGCTTTGTATTGAACCTCTTGATTCATTCTATTTTGACATCTTTAATGTTTCTGCATATGTGTTCTACTTCTTCTATATTGATATTTGCTAGTAGATCTCAGATCATTAGATAGTTTTTTGTCTTTAAAACCTCTTTTGTCTGAGTACTTTTTGTATTCTTAACTTTTGTTTTTGCTTGGCTTGTATCTTTGTATTTTTCTTTTTTTTTTCTCTGTTTTTAATATTTAACTTTTCTGTTTTATTGTTCTTCTTTGTTTCTATTTGTCTTATACTTCCTTTTTTTCTTCTCTTAGTATTATGCTCCTCTTGCTGTTCTATATTTTGAGTTTTGTTTTTGAATTCTTCTAGTATAAGTTTTAGCCATTTTTCTTCTTTTCTTTTAATCCTATCTATTGCTACATCTCTGCTATATTTACAGTCAAAATCCACTTCTATCTAATTATTTCTGTTTTTAAATACTTCTTTGACTGTTTTAATATGTTGATTTTTTCTTAAAATCCACTAGATATACTTTATCCTTTCTTCTTTTGTTTCATCTAGCAAGGCATATGTCAGCATATTTGCTTTGAAAGATCTATTTTTATTATATATTCGATTATTTGGAGATCATTGACTGTGTTCAATTGACTCTGTGAAATACATTGTCTCATCTTTTTCACTGTTCATTTCTTTGTCTTGTTTTGTTATTTCTATATCCATAGTTTCTAGATTTGTTTCTTTGCTTTTTGTTGATATTTTTTTTTTATATTATAAATTATTTATAACTTGACTTGCTTGATATTGTGATGTAGCAATACTAAGTCCTTTTATTTGCTCTTTTAGCATTTCTAGTTTCTGCTCTAATTCTTCAAAATTGTTTCTTTTTTCTTGGTTCTGCTCTCTATTGGCAAATTTTCCTGTTTCATTAGATTCTACTAATATACTTACCTTATCTTTTTTGCTTTCTTTTTGGTAAACTTCTTTTCCTTTTATGTTTGTGTTGTATTCAAATAAGCTTGGATTGTAGCTTATTGACTTTAACTTTTCTGCCTACTTGTCGATTATTCCTTTCTTAAGCTGGCTTATTTCTGCTATTCTTAAGACTTCTAATACCTGGTCATAAACTAGCAAGTCTTGTAATATAATGTGTTTTGGGTCATAGATTGCTAAATCTTTTGCAATATGCTCTATGTTGCTTGGGCCTTTTGTTGGTGTTTTAAGAACTTGGTCTAATATTTTGCAGTTAACATATCTGTAATTTCTGTCTCTTATACTTTTAATATGCTCTATAATATCTTTATTATGTGTTTTATTTATTGGCTGTTTTAGTTTGGTTGTTGCTATGTCATATGCTTATTCTGTTAATAATATATTAGTAATTTTTATTTATTTGTTATTTATATAATTATAAATAATTTTTATATATTAAAAATTTAAACAAATTTTTTTTTGGTATTAAAGTAAGATCTTGTTTATATTTTTATTAATTTAAAATAGTTATATATATATTATAGCAGATATTAATATTTGTAGTTAAAATTAATTATTAAACTGTTAATTATATAGTTATTACTATTTGTTTTTTTTATTTATTTAAACTAGTCTTTTGAGGACTAGGGCTTTTTTATTTAGTATTATAGAACACAATAACTCATAGTCTAATTATCTCAAAGAAACTATTTTACATTTGAAAGTACATCTAGCTATACATATACTTTTGGTGTCTAATTTAAGTAGTCTGCCTATATATAAGTTTTATACTAGCTGCCATACCTGCAACTCAACTACAGGTGTTGCCTATTTAAACCCTTTGTACTGCAATTCTTACTGTTATTACTAGAACATCTCTATTACATAATGTCAGTTGAGAAGTTCTAGATGCTTATCTATACTCTTAGGACCCCTGTCTTATTTTATGCAGATTATCCTCAAGACATTGTTACTAGAGCTTTCTGTATTCCAAATTATAGCTAAACCTAGTTTACAACCCTTGCAAAGTTCCTACAACCCTAGTATTCTCCTTTTACAACCTCACTGTTACCTCGTCTACTTTTGCAAGTTCTTCTATACTACCAATTTAGTTAGTTTTGCATGATGTGACTTCATGCTCAGATTAACTGATAGTCAGGTTGGTGGACTCTCTACCTAGAGGTTCTTGCCTGTACAGATCACTTGCCTCAGGTTTTTTTCAAAGGATCAAGATCTTCACAGGTGGTACTGTCAAAAGTTGTACTACCTCTTTACTTAGGATTTCCAAGCAGACTTCTAATCTAAGTATATACTTTCTGGATTTATTCATGTAACATTGCACACTTCCAAAGTTAGTCTTGGTATAACCAGAATTACAGAATCTACAAATCCCAGATCACAGATAAGTTTGCTGAAATAGGTCTATTTTTTCAAAATCTGTCACCAATGGAAATTGAACATTAGACCTACTACTTAGAGGATGACAATCTAACTACTACATAAGGATCATCATCCTCTAGTTATTACTATTTGTACAAAACAAATAAATTAAAAATTATATATAAAAATAAAATTTTAACTAATTTATTTATAATTTAAATTTACTAAAGTAGTTAAACTTTACTTATATTTGAATGTTTAATATATAGTTTAATAATATGCTATATTTGATTTATAAAATAGATCAAATATTTATTTTTTTTGAAATACCAAAGTAGAAACTTTTATTAAGTAATAGAAAAATTACATTAAAGATTTCTAAACTATATTTGTGCTATTTATTTTAAGATACCCAATATGATATTACATTTTTATTTCTATATAATACTATTATTAATTATTTTAAATTAATTTTAAGTATAGAAAGGCTAAAGAAAACCTAAAGTAATAGTCTTGGCATTTAGTAAATACAGTTAGTAAATGAATAGTCTAAGAATAGGACCCCAAGCTATTCATATATAGGTTAATGTATTAGATGCATAGCCAACTTAATAACTTTTTTATATATAAGATCTAGATTTGCGTAGAATTAGTTAAATTTATAAAAAAAGTTAGATTTTTAAGTTGTCTAATTTTAATTGAATTTTAAAATATTAGAGGCTACTAATATATATTTTTAGTATAAAATTAGTATAAATATATATACTGCTAAGAAAAAAACTTGTTATCAATTATATAATTAAGAACAGGTCAGTTTTGTTTGCTATATTCATATTCTAATATCAATGTTATTTAATTGTCTAATAAATATAATATATTTAGAATAAATTTAATTAGATATATCATATATAATTTGATCTACTAAGTGATGGCTTTATATTAAAATAAACCTGGGGTTTTATAAATTTAAAAATGTTTAACTACAAATTTAAATCAAAAAACAAATAGACTTTGTAAGCATTATGAATAAAAACTCTATATTCAAATTAATAAAACAAAATATGTAAATTAATAAAATATTAAAAAGTACATAGAGTGCCAAGAATGTATTAAGTAAGAAAAACTTTTGTTTGTTAAAGCTATAATTAAAGTAATTGTATTGTATTAATAGTATTATATTAAAAATATATTTGTTAGTACTATATATAAATAAGTAGAAAAAAAAAAAATACAAAAACTTATCTGTAGCCAGACAATATTTTAATTTTTAGATTAGTCTAAATCATTAAAACAAGATATTATAAAAATTTTGTCAAGTTAGATTTTAAAAACAAAAAAAAAAAAAAAAGAAACAATGTCTAAGTGGAAATATAGTAAAAAATGACTACTAAAATATAAGTTTTGTGCTCATATTATTAATTCAAAAAAAGTTATATATATATACAACAAAAAGATTCAACTGCATCGAAAATGAAAAGAAGATTATCTAGAGCAATATGCTAAAAGTTTTGGTTGCAAAGCTAAGGAGGGCCAAAGATCAATTTATAATTTTTTTAAACCTACTAATAACCAACTTGCAAGTTTGGATGAAGAATGGGATTCAGACATTTATGATAATATAGATGATGATGATTTGTTACAAATAGATAAAATGGATGAAGCAGAAGAAGTAAATAATGATATATCAACATTGACTATTCTTACAAATAATAAATCATTAAGTGATAGACAAAAGTTTAAAAAACTTTAATTTGCCAAGGTCTTCAATCTGAACAAATTTCTGATTATATTAAATGTACTCTAGCACAATTTGGCAGTTTATACTGCATAAAAGTTATTGCATATGAAATTTTTCCAAAATTATTTTTTCGGAAATTTAGTAGGAAAAAGCTAAACTATAATCAAAAGCAAAAATTAAATCATGCTTTATATGCAAAGTCTATTTAACAAATAGATCAAAATAGTAAGTTATACAAATTACTATATATTATTAATAATTTAATTTGAATAAAATAAAATTATAATTAATACTGTTCTAAATAAGTAATGCTATACATGCTAAGACATGTTCAGAAATTGCAAAAAAAGATGATATTTGTAATGAATATCATTATATTTGATTTAATAAAAATCTCTGTAATAGAATTCTAAGAAAAATATCAGCACCAAAAAATGCTAAATTTATATCTAAATTTTCTTGGAAAAATAATTTTTTGAAAAATCATCTTCAAAATCTTAATCTTTATAATATATAGAATTTACTTAATAATGATAATAAAGATCAAATATTAAATCCTTAAATTATATTGGCTAATAAGACTATAAACAGAGCATTTAAAGATTCATCAGTCTTTTTAGAACTTTGCAAAGTAATAAGTGATGCTGCTGAATGAAAAGCTAAAAATAAAAGTAAACAAAATTTAAAATATAGTGAAGTATTTACAAATTTTTTAGTTATTCTGAGAAGTATTAGTCCAAGAGCCTTAGATTTATTTCATCAAAACTTAGAAGAAAGAAGAATTTAGTCACTCAGATATTAGTTATTGCAATGCAATGAAAAGTTGTAATCTTAATAATATCTCAATATATATTTTGAATTTTACATTCGATATATATTAGAAAATTATATCATAATAATAAAGATTATTTAACTGATTCAGATCTTTGTTTGAAAATATTGCTTACTTTAAATGGCTTATTGATATAATTTAATATAATAGTTCAATTATTGCAATAACAGACAATACTAAGTTAAAACTACAACTAAAATATTCTTCTACACTTGGATGTATTATTGAATCAATTCTTCAAAAGAAGAAACATAAATAAGCATTTATTCAGATATTTTAAAAGTAATTACAAAAATTAAATCATCAAATGGAATTGCTAAAACTGTTTATACATATCTTTTACAAGTATGTTAAATAGGTTTTGTTTTAAGAATAATCTTAAAAATATAGTAATTAGTATGTTCTATCAGATTATTTTAAGACAATAGCTTATTATTATATGGATTAATAATTATTAAATAAATACTAATCTAATCTTTAATTAAAGATACCTTTGCCAAAATTTCTGCCAGTTGTTATTGCACTTATTTTAAATAAAGGATCTAATACTGCTAAAGATATTAAAAAGCTACATAAAAAATTAATTGAAGAAATTGCATTACAACTATATCTTCATATTTTATCATTGGGATCAGATGATGCAATTATAGAATTTTAGACACAACAGTCAATCCTTAATATTCAAACTTCTGAAAAGCTAACATTTTGTGAGTTTGCTCTAAATATTAATTTTTCATATTCTATTTTGAATAATATTGGTCTTGTAATTTGTATACAAGATCCAAAGTATGCAAAAAAAACTGCATGAAATGCTGTAATGTCAGGTGTATGATTATTAACATTTGGAAAGTTATTAGCATGATTTTAGCACTTTTTAAATCTTATAAATTAATATGATTCAATAATGTATAAAAATAATGTCATTAAACTAGATCGGCAAGACAATAGTGCAGCATATCGAGCATTTTGTTTATTAAACTTTAAACAATGTCTTGGAAAAAATTATGAAGTTGAATCAGATATGAAGAGATTTGCAGTATATTTGTTTGTAATATGTTAGTTTTAATTTTAAATATTATTTAAATTTTTCCTTGTAAATAACTTTATCAAATATAGTAATTACTATATTTTATAGTTATTTTTAAGATAAAGGTCTTATATATTTATCATTATAGAACATATAATATTAATTTATTTTATATTGCAGGAGAATTAATATATAGCTATCTTAATCATGATATCACACCTATTGAACATATTCATATAGTGATGACTACCTATTTTTTTCTTCATCTGTGGAAATTTTATATTGAAATATTAGCAACAAAGTATTTAGATTTTGTTTCATTAAGAACAAATTTCTTATCTCAATAAAGTTTTGCTATATTTATATCACTTGCTAAGTCAATGGTTTTGTTGATAAAAGCATATCATGAATTTTATCTGCAAGTTTTATTATTATCTTGGTTTTATAGTTCTGAATCTTGCGAACATTTTTTTGATATTGTTCATTAAATTAATGTTGATTTTGACTTTGCTGAATTGATGCAAATGATTCCAAAAATTTGTCATTATAATAAGGCTTTATGGGATCAAAAATTAAATTTTGATAAAAAAAAATCAGTTAGATAAGGTAATTTAATTTTCAATAGTATATTATAGAAAACATGAATATTATACAATAGCATGTGTGGGATACATTATATTCTTTTACTATTGTTTATACTAAATTATTAAATATACTGCTTATTTTATATATATTTTTTAATAGGTTACCTTTTTGATTATAATAAATGACAATTAGATGAATTAATTTTAAAAAAACTAAAATTATGGCCTACTAACAAGCAAATGATACAAACTATTTATTATTTATATCATTTAGCATGTGAACTTTCAGAATCTTTTAGTATAATTTAACCTGCAGATTTGTCTATTAATAGGAATAATTTACTTACTGTTAGTTTACACAAAGATAAAGTTTCAATATTATATATATATAATGATACAAATCTAGCTAATATTCAAGAAAATGATAATATTTCTTTAGCAATAAGCAGTGCATCAAAAGAAGTAGATCAATTTAGTAATGATTTGTACAATGATGATTCTTCATCTAACAATATATTTCAAAATAGTCAAAAGCAGCTTAAAATTATTAATCAACCTTTGAAATCAGGTTCTTTATTAATCTTAAATAATGGTAATAGTAGTAAGTATTTATTATAATTTTTTATTACTACTGTATAAGCTTAAAATAATGCTCGTGCGCTTTTTCTAATCACATGCATTTATGGAATATTAACTGTATCAGATTTAAAAAATCAACTATTATTTCGAAATAATGCATATGGGTGTATTCAAAATAACATGCAGATCAATTAATTAACATGCAGATGGGCATTATTTCATGCTTATATAGTATTTGAGTACTTTAGAATTTTTAATAAATTTTATAGAAAAATAAAGCTTTGGGCTTTTGATTATTTATCAAATTTAGTCTATAAAAAATTTGTAAATATATATCATATATATTACTATGAGATTTTTTTGTAGTCTAAATTTGATAAACAATTATTAATAAAATTAAAAGCCTGAAGTCTCAGTTTCTTGATTCTATTATAATATTTACTAACTAAATTGCTATATTTTATAATAACAGTCAGAATGTAATTTTAAATTACAATCTGAATTATATTTAATTTAGATCACAATTTAAAATTATATCTTTGATTGTTATTTTATAAAAATATAAATTAATAGTTAATCAAGATTATCAATATTTTTTAGAAAATACTTTGAATTTTAAGTTTTTACTTAATTAATGTAAATTGCATGATGTATATTGTTCTAAATTACTTGAACAGAAGGTTAAATTGAAGGCACTAAGCACTATTAAAGTTAATATGATAAGCTCTGTTCTTTTAAATAAGGCTAGTTATTTAACTGCATATTTCACAAAAAATGAAAATTCTAAATAATGATTCATTAAACAAAGAGAAAAACATTAAAAGGAAAATCAGAGAAATATGTTAATGATACTTGCACAATTACATTCTGAAGAAATTGAAAAATCAAAAAAAGAAAACCTTAACCAAAAAAATGTTCAATCAAATTTAATATTAAGTATATATTTAGATTATGCATTTTTAAAATTTTAAACTTAGATTTTATTAAGGTTTAATATTACTAAACTTTATTTTAATTTTAAAATAATCATCTAATAGTTCCTAATATCCAAAATACAAACATATCAGATAATTTTTCACTATTAAAAGGCAATTATGTTTTTGTTCTATATAGTAAAACCATGTGTATTGAAAAAGTTATAGCATTATATTTTGAAAATTATATTAATCACTGTTATACAGATAAACCTGTTACAAATTTGAATAATATTTCTTATATTTCATTACAAATTTACTTAGTTATTCATTTGAATTTGTTTAGTAATATTTTAAAAGAAGGTTGTAGTCTTTTAACATATCATTTAGCTTCTAATATTATTTATCATATTAATAAGTTAGGAGTATTAATTGATGAAAATGTTTTAAATTTGCTAGAAAATAAAAAAAAATATTTGATTACTTTAATTAGGAAGATATTGTTCAAAAAATAATTTTTTAATAAAAATTATTTTTTAGCGAAGTTTAAAATAGTTATTAATAAAAATAATAATTAATATACATGTACCTGAAGGTACATATACCTGCATTATATGACACAATATATAATAGCATATATAACTTAATATAATATATATATTATATTTATTGTACTGTAATTAAAATTCTTTATTTTTATTAATTTATATACAATATATTCACTAATTTAAGCATTAATAATATTTTAACTATCCCTAACTCTAAATCTATTTTAACATTTCTAATCCCAAAACCTGGTTTACCTATTTTTAATTCTAACATCTATTTAATCCATTTCCAACTTTCCCTAAACCTAATTTATTTTACCTATTTCTAACTCTAAATCCAATCTCTGAAATCATAATTAAGTTCTAATCAACAACTAGTCTTGAGTGTTGCATCTACTAATGCTTTTCACAAGACCTGGACTAAGCATGCAAATAAGAGTTACATTATTAAGAAGTATATTCACATTTTGCATTTATGATAGGCAATCTAGATGCTTGAAAAAACCAAGTTTGATTAGACATGAAATTTGTCTATTAGTTAAAATAAACAAATTTTTATTTGACAGATATCAGATAAAATTCAGTTAGCCAATAACAACTTGCAAAATATGGCCAAAAAAACTGCATAACAAATAACAGACCTAAACAAGTTCATCCATTTTTTTTTAAGATTGCTAATGTTTTTTCTTCTTTTTATTCATCTGAAATCTCTGTCATGATGACTCCAAGACTATAAATATCTGATACTTGAGTGTATGGCTAACCCATTAAAATCTCAGGTGCTACATATAGCAGAATCCTAAAAGCTTTATCTCTATTCACTTTTTTAGAAAGTCCAAGATTAGTGATATATACATTTTGCAAATTACTTTGAATATTTCTACTGTATAAATTTCTGTAACCAAGTTTCTGTAAATGAATCGACTCAAAATCCAAAGCTATACTATACAAAATATTTAATTTATCTTTTTACCTTAGTTGTGATACTTGTACAAAATTTGTTATAACAAATTTTCTGATGCAATTGTGTAAAAATAATATAATCACTATGATACTTTATAAAAGTTCAATAATGAAGGATTCTCATAACCAATTTGTAATGCTTCAATTCTTAGATAAGTTCTTGTACATTTTTGTTTGAATCATGAATCAGTTTAAGTGCAATATTTCACAATGAACTGTTAATTCTGTCTAGCCAATTGGCCAATAAATAGTTACAAATCCTCTAAGTTTGTTACTATTAAGGTGCAAAAATTCAATTAGTGTTCTTATAATGTGCCTAATCTAAGATTATTCATTAAAAATCAATATAATGTTCTTGTAAGCCTATCAGTAACCTATTTATTAAACAACGTTAAAATGATAGCACTTAAAATGACAGAAATTATACATACAAATTTGACAATACAGAACATCTAAGCAACAAAATTCACAGCCACAAGAACATCAGAAAGACATCAAAAATCAACTAGCAAAATTCTAGTAAAATGATGATGCAAAGTCATCAAAGTAATGAAATCCAAACATCAAATAACACCTAAAGTCTAGTAATAAAATACTATGAAACCACAAAATCTATTATTGTTTATATATCCAGTGATTGTTAGGTTATATGAAAATGCAGGTATACAAAAAATTTTTATACTCTCTGATATTTTTTATAAGTTAGATAATTTATTTGCTTATTTTTAATAAAATTTTAAAGTTATATATTATTAATATTAGTAAAAATTTATGCTTAGAGATATTATAAAAAAATTTTAACTTCTTGTAATCTATATACTAATAGCTTAGAGTCCTTCTTAAGCTAGCCTTTACAGTAGAGCTATTAAAAATTTGACTATCTTTTTATTTAGATCTTTTCAAATAGACTTCTTGTTATCTAATTTCAACAGATTTACATAGCCACAAGGACTTATTTAGTGTTTGCACTACCCAATTTATTAGTTTGTATTTCTTTGTATAATTAGTTACACAGATGCTCTATAACCTGTTAGTTATACTAATGTAACTATTATTACAAGTATTTTAACTCAATTGTTAGTAACAGTTGCTATAATACAAATATTACATAAGTAATTATTTAAATTTTCACTATCAATAAGATTTGAACACCCAACCTATCACTTGAGAGGTTGACAACTTGACCACTTTACTAGGTTATCACATACTTTAAATATTAATTTTTTGTTTTTATTAGTATGTCTACAAATATAGATATTTTAAGTTTTATAAATAATAATAAAAAAAGTAATATATAATAGTTTCAAAATACTTAGTTTTTAATTAAAGTTAAAAAAATTGAAGATAAACAAATATTTTTATTATTTTTGAATTTAGTAAAAGAAAAATTATATTTTATTTTTAAAGATATTAAAATTAAAAAACTAATAAAAAAATTAATTAAGTTAAATTATTTTTTTTTGATATTAAGATAAATTAAGTTAAATTGTTAATATAATTTTTTTTTAAACCTAATTACTTTTTAATTAATTATCTAAAAAATAGAAAGTTTTTTATAAAGAAAAAAGTTTTGTTTTGATCTCTAATTAAAAAATATATTTTATTTATAATTTTGATAAAATTAATAATGAATTTTAACAACAATTTTTTAGTCTTATTTAATAATTATTAAATTTAAAATAGTTAAAATTTATTTATTAAAAAAATATTTTATTATATATATAAAATTACAAATTATTATATTAAATTTTCTGTTTATATTTTTTATTTTGATGTTTTTTTTCAAATTTTTTAGTTCTTTTTTTTTAATTTTTATTACTTTTCATTATTCTGAAAGTTCTTAAGCACCTTGGAATTTTTTATTTTTCTTAAAGCCAAAGTCATTATTCAGTAAAGATTAATAAATGGCCAGTGGCCTTTATATTATTTAGTCTCTGTAAGTTAACATATTTTATTGCTATATATAGCATCTGTAGTGTTTTTTAGCTCTTCTATACCATATAGAGATAAGTTTATCATTTTAGTAATGTTCTGAGTTTTTGGTTCTACAGTGTAAAACTCTAATATGGTTCACAGTTTCTTATCACTACAGTCTTACAGTTTTTTTTTCTATTTTGTTAATATCTCTACTATATTTAATTCTTTTAAGCTAGATTTACTTAATTTTAGTATTTTTTATTGATGAATTATATCTTATTTAGTTGTTCTGACTTCGTAGTTATGCTATTAACTGCATTTGAATATATAGTTTTTGTTCTTTATTACAGGAATTCATTCAATGATTATTTTTTAATTGTGGTCCTAGCTGAGTCTTGTTCCTCTACTAAATTCAAACTTATAACCATATAATTGTAATCTGAAAGCACTAATCACTGTATTATTAACTCAAAAGTCACTAGTTCTTTTTTAGTTTTTTTTTTATTATTAATAAAATTATCATTATTTATTATTGTTATTATTATTTTATTATTGTTGTTTTTTAAAATATATATATTTTCAACAACTCTTTCTAATAATTATTCAGACACAAAAAACAGCTAAAGAAAAAAAAAGATTTTTGCAAAGTTGGCAATAAAAAATACTTCAAGTAGCTTTAAGTAAAAAGAAGCAGCAA